GTACAACCACTGTTGAGTCCTATCATTTTGTTTTGAAACTCTGTACCATTCTTACTGTTTTTGCTTTGTTTTGTTCTTGTCTATCTTGTTATTTTTAAAATTCTCTTTAAAATAAAAAAATAAACAGTGTACTAATAACACATTACATTAAAATGTACATTTCAAAATGTTTTCATGTAGATTTTTCCTATTTCAAAATCAAATCCTCTAATGTATGAGAGGTCTTGTCTCATCAGTGTTTAGATAAGTCAACTTGTCTGTACACATACTTCTAGTAAGCACTGGAGTTAGTCTCCTTATCATGAGTATTTTAATACAGAGTGAACTTAAAAGTTTTTAAAAAGCTGAACTAAATTACACTTTGCATAAGCTAGAGGAGGACCTGAATTTTACCAAGGGACTATGGTACACTATCTTACAGAGCAGAATTTCTAGAATTGTTAACACTTGAGGACATGCAAGTTTGATTCTCTTACTTCTTAGTTTAACTGTCTTGAGCTACCCTATGTCTGAGCCACATCAAAATTCTTGTGCTCCCTGAGTTTGACCTGCTGCTTCATACCTCTGTGACTTGGATCTGGTCCTCTTATCACTCCATTCTAGTGTTACTTCTCTCACCCCCCCAGGTACAGCAGGTCTCTTATTCTTTGGGCCACCCTGTATCCGACACATACGCATCAACTACAACATTTTCATGGTGTGCAGCGATTGTTCACATGTCCTTTGCAATAGAACACACACTACTGGAATTCAGGCAGCAGCATTTCAGTACCACGGGCAAGATGCCTGAGAGGGTGCAGGGGCTCAGGAAATAGTTACTGAATGAATGGGGAAATTCTCACAGTGATTTCAACCTCTACTTTTAATTACAATTATTCATGCAAGTATTTTTCCTCTCTGCTAGATTTTAATCATTTAAATTAAAGTCCACAGAAATAGAGTAGATTAAAAGTCCACAGAAATAGAGTAGATAATCTGAATGAGTGAATCAGACTGAGAAGAGGATGGAGCACACTGGAACGCATGTTTCACCTAATAGGGAGCTACTGTGGCTCAACTCTGAACCA